ACTTGGAAGTAAAAAGTAGAAATAACATGTCTTCGAAGTTCGTAAAAACAATTTCTATTGCTTGTTGTTGAGATATATAGTCTCACATTGATTAGATGAGCAACTAATATGGCCTTTATAAGGCCTTGGGCACTCCCACCCTTTGAGCTAGCTTTTGGAGTGGTGACCTTCTTAACATAGTATCAGAGCCTCACCGTCCCCCGCTTTAAAAAGTGGAATTAAAAAAAAAAAAAAGCACAAAAAGGTAAACCAAGAATGAGCCTGTGCAATTTCCACGCTTCTAGCCTAAAAAGGCTCTTGCGTGAGGGGGCGTGTTGAGATATATAGTCCCGCATTGATTAGATGTGCAATTAATATGGCCTTTATAAGGCCTTGGGTACTCCCACCCTTTGAGCTAGCTTTTGGAGTGGTGACCTCAAGGTTCTTAACACTTGTAAATATGTTTCTACGAGATGTTATGTGTAAATATGTTTGATGGATTTTCTTAGTGCGCCGTATATTAATCTTAGCACAAAATTATTGCCTCTTTCAAAACTCAACTCAGTGCTCTGAAGATGCTTTATTCTTTTTAATCTTGGATTTGACCTGTAGGTAGCTGGGTTATTATCAGTCATCTCTAAGGGAGAGAAGTATTTGAGCAACAATGATAACAGCACCCTGAAGTAGTAGTTTCTGAACTACCTGATAAAACATATTTACAAAGGGTTGCAGCTGCTTATTCTTTTGATGTGGCTGAATTTGTGTATGAACCTAGCCTTTATTTACTATCATAATATCAAAATCAAATCAATTGTTATCGTTTGATGTTATTTTGTAACTATCTATTTTGGCCTTCCGTCCTTAAAATTCCCAACTTTGCCACCGAGAGTAAAATTTGTTAGTATTATACTGGAGTTAAAAGAGCTCTTTTATATATATATATATATATATATATTCGTTAGAATTTTTTTTTTACATATATTAAGATATATTAAATTTAAGTGTTGAGAATTTAAGTATAAATGATACAGTCCTATATTGAGAATGAATGAATTGAGCATAAAATATATAAATGAAAAAAATTCAAAAACTTAATATTTTAAGATTTTGGGTTGAGATATGATGTCCAAATCTATTTATTTTAATAAGTTTATTTGATGATAATTCTTCCCTCGTATGAGATTGCTGATCAAGTCCGATCTAGAGCCATGATTACACCTCTTCCCTGTTTTTGGACTCTATTTTCAATTGTTACTTTAATTTTTTTTAGAACTACTTCAGGTAGGGGTTACAATTGAGAGTCTCTTTTTATGTATTCTGCAACCTAAATGATTTGCTTCCATAGTGGGCACCTCCTCCTCTTGCTTTATTAAAGTTTTTGATTCTGCCTGTGCAGATGAATAAAATATAATTGAAGCAATACAATACGCCTTTCTTCTTAACTTTCCTGCTGCTAAGAAAACAAATAAACTGCTAGAAATTTACATGCATTTCCTATGAGAAATCATAAAAGTATATTCCATGTGCTTCACAAAAGCAGAAGCTTTTTGGGCTCTATAAATATAATGGATTGAGTGAGTGGGAAGCACAGGAACACGCTTTGATCCACAACCTCATTATTTTTTGAACTTAATCAGGAGTATACTATAGTGCTTGACTAGTTGACCGTCAACGCTAATGATAAGACCCGTTTAGGTGCTTGTTGGGCTAATTTCGCGAAGCTAATTATTTAATAGCATCATCTTCAATATCTCACAATTGTGCATGTGTTTATCTCTCCACCAACATCAACCAGCATCATCCTGTACAATCACGATTTATTACCGTTGCTTTTACTAATCAAACTCGAAACTTTCGTATTAGAGTATGCTGCTTATTAACAAACTTTTCACTGATTTCAAGGCTAACTCATCTGAATCAGAAAACAAATATACAGAGAGGCCAATTTATTATTTATTAACTTAAATGGGAGTATGTCAAAAGCATAAATTTTGTGCAGGTATCGTTACTAATGCATGAACTAAAATTTACATGCGAAACATACTTCTTGAGGAATTGAGTCGTTGACCCATGGCACATGAGAAGCCTAACCACTTCACACTCCACACTTCCCCTATGAAGGAAGAGCAAATTTCGGTCTTTTATTGCTTTTCTCTATGAAGTAAGAGGAAAGTTCGTGTATTATAGTTCTTCGTCTATTTGGGTTTGTTTGTCCTAAATTGGAAGGGACAAAAATATGAAGAATCATATTCATATAAATATGGATTAATGATAATAAATAAAGAGAGAAAAATATTAAAGTAAGTAGTTATAAGATTTAATTCATCTATGTATAATTGTTATCCTCTCGTGTGATCATGTCATGTTATCCATTTCCTCTTCGCGCTGTTAATATATAAAGTCAGTCTTGTAGTAAGATAACTTCACATCTGATTCTTAGAGGCTGTTTGGTATATAGGTTGTCTTGGAAATTATAGGGAAAGTGATGCAAGGAAACAATATTTCCTATGTTTGGTAAGTGATTTTCACCAAGATAACCGGTATAATAATACAATCGAGAAAATATGTTTCTACTAGACATTGGCACAAAAGAATGCAATGTCAACGGTGGTATTAATTTAATCCACCAAGTGAGATAGTGTTTTGCAATTCTTAGAACGAAAATGTCCTGAAAAAGCAACTTTTTGTCGTTGATAATTTTAACATAATGGGTAAATATGTAATTTTAACTCATTTCCATTAATATTTCACCATCAACCAAACGTGGTATTACTAAAAAGAACCCAACTTTTCTGGCAAAATTGATGCCTACTAAACACCTTTTTGTAACTTACCCAACCAAAAATTATTTCCATCATATTCCGGATAATTTTTTGTTACCGGTAATAAAAAATTTCTCCCATACCAAACACCCCTTAGTAGATAAATTCTATCCGTGGAAAAACGTTTTACAATTTACTATAAGAATTTATTTTCTTCTCGCGTGAGTATATAAAAGAAATAAAAAAAACCCGTCAAATTTTTTTTTTTTTGAAATATTTCAATCGGTTCATTACTTCGCAATTAATCTGATTCAGGACGAGTCCAGAATTAAAATTTTAAACTCCTCCCAAAAATAATACCGAAGAGATTCAAATACAGCCTTCACCCCACGTTCGACAATAGTACAATTTGATAAATCTATCGAACTTTAAGAAGTAGAACTGGGGTTGTATTAATTTGTCGAGGCAACTTAAGTAGAAATAATTAGCTGATAATATAGTTTGTTGAAAGCTTTCTCATTGTGAATTGCATGCGTCATCTTGGTGATGTCAGAAAGTCAAAGCAATCATGATATCAGTAAAGACCATTAATTATTCGTACAGTTAGGATGAACAAAAAAAAAAACAATATCAACAGTATTTTTTTTTTTTATATTGTTAGTAGATAAAATTTCCTGCTAATCGCACTAATAAGAATTGATTTCAGATTATTTAGTAAGAGGTTAATGTGAAATTTCATCCAAATAAAAAAGTGTTTTAAGAAGTGTAAAAAAATTGTGTTACAGGTATTTCTTTTGTAAACAATCTAACAGATATTTTATGGCCGGAGAACTAGGCAAAATGACCATACTATCACTATTTTGTAAATGTATGGTGGGAATGAAACACATTTGGAAAAGAAGGCTGAAGTAGATGAGATCAATTCCGTGACTGAACAAGACGGGATTAGAGGCCACGTCGGATTCTACAGAGTGCCGTAAATATTGTTGACGTGTTTCATTCTTGCCAGGAAACTTGACGGGACCGCGTGTCTATTGACGTCATGTCCTGTTTGTTTTTTAATTAATGAATGTTGGCAAGTCTTTGTTTGGACTTTGGAGATATATGTGTTCTCAACTTGTTGGGTTAAACGCCTTCCTGTTAAAAAAATTGGCTCACTTTTTTTATTATAAAATCTCTTGGTTCATAATGCTTTAATGGAGTCAGCTGTCAAACAAAACTATAGATGCCAAAATCTACAATTGAAGACAAAACAGTGTCGTGAGGAAAGGAAAGTGATAATATGAAGAAATTAAAAATTAAAAAAAACGGAACGGTTGTTTTAATAATTAGTAAATTTGTTTTAATTAGTAAAACGTGGCCCATTTGTTTTGCGTAATTAAGAAATAAAAAAATTAGTAATATTAAGCAAATATAATAATTAGTAGATTTGTTGTAATATATTTTTGGTCTTTAGAAGTGGTCCATATAAAAAAGCTAAAGACGTGTTAATTATTTTTGTAATTAATGAAGGTTTTTTGTTTTGTTACAAATAATTAATGAATTAATTAAAATAAATAACAACCTAAGAAAAAACATGTTAAGTAAAATAAATAATCATTAATTATAAATGAAACAGTAATTAGTATTAGTGTTATAAGTAAATATCAATCATGTTATTAAATTTTTTTCGTAATTAATGATTTAATCATAATAAATAGATAATATTAAATTAGTATTAGTAATATTAAGCAAATATAATAATTAGTAAATTTGTTGTAATATATTTCTGGTTTTTAGAAGTGGTCCATATAAAAAAATTTAGTGTGTCTATTTATAAATAGGTAAACGTCCTTTATGAATGAAAATTCCATGCTGGAAACCAATAACAAAATGCCATCTCTTGTCATGTCCCCAAAATGCTATCTCATCTTCATAGCATAGCTTTTGATATTTTGTTTGTTCCTATTTGACAATGGCCCCAGGCACTAGCATTATTAGAGTGGCATTTTGCTATCTCATAAGCAAAGTGTCCTATGCTAATGTCCAAAGAGGCATGATTTGCAAGCTGAAATTATTCTTGCCCATTGATTAAAGCGCGTGTACTAGCTAGCTCCTTGGAAATACCTATCAATACAAACGTTATTTACGTGGATCGTACACAGAAACAGTCTTTAATTCCTATAAAATCCCATTCCTTTTCGTCAAAACTTATCTCTCTCACATTCACCTTTCTTTCTAGTTAATTTCTCCCTCACACGTACTCAATAGTATTATTCAGCTACATTTCACAACCATGTTGCCAAGAAGTAGAACCCTTCCTAGCAGAATCCACCAAGGAGTTGTAAGAGCAAATTAACCAATATTCTAGTATCATACTCATTTTCTTCTTTTTCTATCTATTAACGTAGATTTATGTTCAATTATTTTCAACAGTTAGAAGAGAGGCATGATGTGAGGCACTACTTACAAGTAGATGTGCAGCCCAAAACCCAAACAGAGTCCGAAGCATTGAATATACAGTCTAACTATTCCAATTGCTTCGATGATGATGGTCGCTTGAAGAGAACAGGTTATAGTTCAGCTTTATATAAAAGCTCTAATATATTGTGTTCTTTTTTATAAGATATATAATGTTAAGTTTTGGCCAAAAAAAACACCCTATTAATTGTGATTAAACAAATTGCCGCAATGATATTATTTTGAAATGTTTTATCTAACTAATGCAATCAGTTGTACACTTACATGATGTACAATCACCACGAGACAAGCTTTCGTGAATTGTACACGTATCAAATCACATGCGCAACTAAGTAAATGTGCAGCAATAAACTGCATTAGTTGAGTAAAATATTTCAACTAATATGCTTGAAATCATGCTGTTGCAGGGACATTTTGGACTGCAACTGCTCATATCATCACTGCTGTGATAGGCTCGGGAGTGCTTTCCCTAGCATGGGCTGTAGCACAGCTTGGATGGGTTGCTGGACCTATTGTAATGCTTCTCTTTGCCTTGACCAATTTCTACACTTCCAACCTATTAGCACAATGTTACAGGACGGGTGACACTGTTACTGGACAGAGAAATTACACCTACATGGACGCAGTTAAGTCCATCTTAGGTAAGAGGATTAAGAAGCCGTGATATGTTACCTCAATTGTTGAAAATATTCAAGTGAGTTATGAAGAAGTTTCATGTCAGTTAGAATTGAACCAAATGAAGATCATAGAAGTGTAAAAGACCCATAAACTTATAATAATAGCCTTAAGATTTTAGGTTGAGATGCGATGTCGGCCGACTTATTGTGGTTTATCATTTAGACCAATTGGTAAATGTATCCCTTCGAAAGGGTTTTAGGCTCCCCCGTATCATTCTCAACAATGGTATCAGAGTCAAAAGTTTGGCTAAGCCAAGCATATGAAGATTGTGTTGCCCTTAGGGGAAATATAATGTTGGGCCTCATACTTGAAGAAAGGATGTTGAAAATATTCATGTGTGAGTTATAAAGATGTCCCACATCAGTTAGAATTGAACCAAGTGAAGAGTCTATATAAGTGCAAAAGACCCACAAGTTTATATCTTAAGATTTTGGATTGAGATGTAGTGTCGGCCTATTTATTATGGTTTATCATTAAACTTGCAAAGATTTTTGGGCTCTCCCGTGCCATTCTTAACATCAATATGTAAGTTCAGTGCTTTAAAGTGTTGAAATCGATGATGCCATTCTTTTTGGGTTTCAGGAGGAAAAAAGGTCAAGTTATGTGGCGTTATCCAATATGTGAATCTGTTTGGAGTTGCAATTGGGTATACCATTGCTGCCTCAGTCAGTATGATGTGAGTTAAACAAAAAAACAAATAGTGTCCTTTGTTATGTTTTCTTGCGGTCTAAATGAATTAATATGTTAGAGATTGAACTAATTTTTCCTAGTGAAATGAATTATGTTTTTTCAAATGGAAATACTATAATTATGATGTGTATTCTTGACCCGTGTCTCAGGGCCATAAAAAGGTCGAATTGCTATCATAAGAGTCATGGAAAAGATCCATGTCATATGTCTAGCAATGGTTATATGATAGCATTTGGTATAGCAGAAGTGATATTTTCCCAAATCCCAGACTTTGATCAAATATGGTGGCTATCCATAGTTGCAGCTGTCATGTCCTTCACTTATTCTTCTGTTGGATTGGGTCTTGGCGTGGCGAAAGTAGCAGGTACAAGCAGATATATACTTTATGTACGTGGATAACATTTATATGCAGCATCTATTCACTTCTTTGTGCAACTTTTTGGTCTTGCAGAAAATAAAACTTTGAAAGGAAGCCTGACGGGAATTAGCATTGGCACAATGACACAAGCTGGAACAGTCACTAGCACACAGAAAACATGGAGGAGTTTACAAGCTCTGGGTGCAATGGCCTTTGCATACTCTTTTTCCATTATCCTTATCGAAATTCAGGTAATTCAGATATGGCCTGTCATTATAATACATATTCTTCAGACAATGCACAATATTACAAAAGAAAGCATTTTGGCTGTGTGGCAGGACACCATAAGATCTCCACCTGCAGAGCACAAGACAATGAGAAAGGCTACTATTTTGAGCATCATGGTTACCACACTGTTTTATTTACTCTGTGGATGCATGGGTTATGCAGCCTTCGGAGATAATGCACCTGGAAATCTTTTGACTGGTTTTGGATTCTATAACCCTTATTGGCTTCTGGACATTGCCAACCTTGCAATTGTTGTTCACTTAGTTGGGGCATACCAGGTATAAAATCATATTATCCTTGGTGCTAGTTTATTTTCTTGAAATCTAGAAATTTTCGCAAGAATTATGGTGGGCTTAAGATCTTGAGTAGGCAGCAATAGACTTAAAAAAGATAGGAAAATAAGAAAGAAATGAATATGAACTTATACGGATATTGCCTTGGGTCATGCTTTGCATCTCATAGGAAATTCCCCTTGTACAGTATTCCTAGAACCTCTTTAGAATAATGCAACTAAAAAAGAATTAACTAGAAACAACTATAACAATTACATAGTACCATATTAGGTCTTAATGACTAGTACGTTGTTTCAGAGAATTTGAAGACTAAGGCTCTGCTTGATTTCTGTTCGCAGAACAGTTTTTAAATTTTTAATAACAATAAAACAAAAAAATTTAGTTGGTAATAGAATTCAATGAACACGAAGAACAGTAAGCGAGTGTGAGAGAGAGTATAGAACCCATAGCACAGATCTGAAAGTGTGTAATATTAAAGAATGATTAGTTAGTTACAAGTATGTGAGAGGAGCTATTTATAGAGCTCAAGTCTGAGTCACCTAACAGATTAACAACAGAATGGTCTAACAGATTAACAACAGAATGGTAACTAACTAACTGTGAGAATATGAGATATAATCCTATACAATGAAGCTATATCGAAAGCTATACTCTAATACACCCCCTCAAACTCAGGATCTTTGAGGAAGGAGAGCTGAATCAAAGATGCAGAGTTTGCTGCGTAACTCGTCAAACCTGGTACTTGGAAGAGCTTTAGTTAAGGTGTCAGCTACTTGGTCAGATGCAGGAACATGAGCAACTACCATCTGTTTAGCCAGAACCCTCTCTCTTACAAAGAAAATATCCAGCTCAATGTGCTTCGTGCGAGCATGGAGAATCGGATTATGGGAGAGAGCCACAGTGCTTAAATTATCACAATGAACAACCGGTGTAGAGATGGGCACCCGAAGCTCACACAAAAGAGATTGAAGCCATAAAATTTCTGCACAAGTCAAGGCCAAGCTCCTATATTCAGCCTCAGTACTAGATCTATCGACCAATGTTTGTTTCTTAGACCACCAAGAAACAAGATTTGGACCCAAAAACAGACAAGCACCCGATGTTGAACGCCTATCGTCAGGATCACTTGCCCAATCAGCATCGCAATAGGCTGTGAGGGAGAAGGAAGTAGAAGAAGGGGCAGACTGCAGCTTCAAACCAAAGGAAATGGTGCCTTGCAGATAACGCAGTATGCGTTTCACAATTTTCCAATGATCAAGCAAAGGCTGAGCCATAAACTGACACACCTTGTTAACAGCAAAACTAATCTCAGGCCTAGTGATAGTGGCATACTGAAGAGCTCCAACAATGGACCGGTAGTGATGAGGATCCTCATAGAAGTTAGAGCCATGCCTGGAGAGTTTACAACCAGTGGGCATAGGAGTGGCAATGCTTTTGGCAGCATCCATATGAGCTCTTGTAAGCAGATCACGTATGTATTTAGATTGATTGAGGAAAATAACACCAGGAGCTGGGCTGTGAACTTGAACCCCAAGAAAATAATCCAAATTGCCCAAGTCTTTGAGAGCAAATGTAGAGTTGAGCTGAGAAACAATGTGCTGAATGTAACTTGAATCATTTCCAGTCACGATAATGTCATCAACATACACAAGTATGTAAATGCTTCTGTTGGCTGAGTGATGAATGAACAAAGAGGGATCACACCGACTGGAGATAAAACCAAGAACAGAGAGAGAATGTCTAAGCTTATCGAACCAGGCTCGTGGAGCTTGTTTAAGCCCATAGATAGCTTTATTGAGTTTGCAAACAAGCTTCCTATCAGATGACTCAAAGCCAGGAGGCTGAACCATGTAGATGTCTTCAGCCAAATCCCCATTTAGGAAGGCATTATTGACATCCAACTGCCGAAGAGGCCAGCCATAAGAGAGAGCCAAGGTAAGCATGACTCTAATAGTAACAGGCCGAACCACAGGAGAAAATGTCTCAGTATAGTCAAAACCAGCCAATTGATGGAAACCCTTAGCCACCAACCTTGCTTTGTATTTATTAATACTACCATCGGCATTTTCCTTGAGTTTGAAGACCCATTTACATCCAATTGCAGTCCTGTTAGATGGTAAAGACACCAGATTCCAAGTATTGTTAGCAATAAGGGCAGTAAATTCAGTTTGCATGGCTGCTGTCCAATTGGGACTGGCAAGGGCCTGTTTGACTGTACAAGGTTCAATGTGAGCTAGGAGAGCAATGGACCTAGCAAGGGTTTTGGATCGAGTAGTGATGGAGTGAGGAGAAATAGAGCCAAGAGAGGAAGATGGAACATAGTCAGACGTAGAGGAAGCAGATGTGGGTGGAGAAGGAGAAGAAAAGGATGGTGAAGGCAAAATAGGAGACACAGCTGGAGAATCAGAAGAAACAGGACTATAACTGGTGTTGAGATCAGGGATGAAGTGCAAAGTGGGGCTGGCACTCAAATCAGAAGAATTTTTTGATGCACAAGGCACTTGATCAGGTGGGACTAGTGGCTGCTGGGAAGTGTATGATGTACAAGGCACGGGATCAGGTTGAACCAGTGGCTGCTGTGGAGTGTTTGAAGCACAAGGCACTGGATCAGTGTGGACCAGTAGCTGCTGTGAGTGTTGCAGTGGCAAAGCAGGCGTGAAAACAGAAGGGGATTTAAAAGAGACAATAGGAATAGAGGGCTGTGCAGTAGGTTGGGAAGAAACAGTATGCCAATAGGAATAAGGGAACTTATACTCATTAAACAACACATCCTTTGAAATAAAATTTCTACCTTCTGGGTTATGACATATATAACCTTTATGACTAGAGGAATAACCCAAAAAGATACACTCTTGAGAACGAAACTCCAGTTTGTGTTTGTTATAAGGACGAAGAAATGGAAAACATGCACATCCAAATGTTTTGAGGAATCGATAATCAGGAGTGGACTTGAATAATAATGTATAAGGAACAATGTGATTTAAGGCAGCAGTGGGAAGTCTATTAATGAGATAGACAGCAGAAGTGAAGGCAAAATCCCAATATTTCAGTGGAAGGGAAGCATGAGACAGCATGGTAAGACCAGTCTCAACAATATGTCTATGCTTTCTTTCAACAACACCACTTTGATGATGTGTATGAGGACAAGCTATACGATGTAAAATACCATGAATTTTGAGATAATCTGAAAACACTCGAAACTCACCCCCCCAATCTGTTTGTATGGCTTTTATGGGTAGGTTAAACTGAGTTTTAATCATAGAGTGAAACTGTTTGAAAACACTGAGTGCATCAGATTTCAGTTTTAAAGGATACATCCAAGTATACCTAGTGCTTGCATCAAAAAAGAAATATAATATGAGTAACCAGAAGTAGATTTCATAGGAGCAGGACCCCAAAGATCACTATAAACCAATTCAAAGGGAGTTCCATAAACAGTAGAAGAGGGAGAAGAGGGTAGACGATGAGCTTTGCCAATGCAACACGAACTGCAGAAATCTGATACAGTTTTATTGATATATGGAATTTTACAAGTAGAAAGAACACTCTTTACAGCTTCATTGTGTGGGTGTCCTAGACGACAATGCCACAAATGATATACAGAATGAGGTTCACAACTAACTGTAGTTTCAGATACATTTTTACAAGAGGTAACAGAAGAATGAGATGGAGTACATTTCTCAAAAACTGAGTTATTACATTGAGACTGAAGAGAGTTTCTAAACACAGGCTCTAATGAACAAGGTTTATCTTGAGCAATATTGATTCCTGAAAAACAGTATAATCCATCACGACCAACAGTTCCTTGAAGAAGAGTCTTATTGGACCCCTGCGATTTGACATAACACACAGTAGGGTGAAATTCAAAAAACACATGATTGTCTTGTGCAAATTTGCTCACACTAATCAGATTTTTAACAATTGAAGGAACATGAAGGAGGTTTTTGAGCTGAAGTCGTGTGTGACAGTTAATAGGTGAGGTAAAAGTAGAGGAACCAATAGCATTTACAGTCAAACCTTGCCCATTGCCAATTTGAACTTGGTCAGATCCAGTGAGTTGCTGGCTCTGGATCAATTGGGTATACCATTGCTGCCTCAGTCAGTATGATGTGAGTTAAACAAAAAAACAAATAGTGTCCTTTGTTATGTTTTCTTGCGGTCTAAATGAATTAATATGTTAGAGATTGAACTAATTTTTCCTAGTGAAATGAATTATGTTTTTTCAAATGGAAATACTATAATTATGATGTGTATTCTTGACCCGTGTCTCAGGGCCATAAAAAGGTCGAATTGCTATCATAAGAGTCATGGAAAAGATCCATGTCATATGTCTAGCAATGGTTATATGATAGCATTTGGTATAGCAGAAGTGATATTTTCCCAAATCCCAGACTTTGATCAAATATGGTGGCTATCCATAGTTGCAGCTGTCATGTCCTTCACTTATTCTTCTGTTGGATTGGGTCTTGCCGTGGCGAAAGTAGCAGGTACAAGCAGATATATACTTTATGTACGTGCATAGCATTTATATGCAGCATCTATTCACTTCTTTGATCAACTTTTTGGTCTTGCAGAAAATAAAACTTTTAAAGGAAGCCTGACGGGAATTAGCATTGGCACAATGACACAAGCTGGAACAGTCACTAGCACACAGAAAACATGGAGGAGTTTACAAGCTCTGGGTGCAATGGCCTTTGCATACTCTTTTTCCATTATCCTTATCGAAATTCAGGTAATTCAGATATGGCCTGTAATTATAATACATATTCTTTACACTGTTAGAGATATATAAAATCATTAGCGTAGCTTCACTTAAATTGGTTCTTTACATGGTATCAGAGCTTCGGTATCTCAGGTTCGATTCTCGCCATCCCTACTTTCTCCTGTGGCATTTTCTTAGCACAAATAGATAGGTCTGTGCATTGTCCACCCTTTAAGTGGAATGGACTTTCTTGTCAGAAGACATGTTAGAGATATATAAAATTATGAGTAAACACCCTTTTTGGTCCCTGACAATATCTACGAAATCCTTTTTAGTCCCTGGCAATAAAAAAGGACCAAATTGGTCCCTAACAGTATGTAAAAAGGGCCACGTTAGTGACGGAGGAGTTGACACAAGGACTAACGTGACCATTTTTTCATAATTTTAGGGACCAATTTGGTCTTTTTTTATTGCCAAGGACTAAAAAGGATTTCGTAGATATTACCAGGGACCAAAAAAGATGTTTACTCTAAAATTATTAATACAACTTCACCTAAAAATTTAAGCTTTTGAGTTGAAATGACCTTTAAAAAGACAATGCACAATATTACAAAAGAAAGCATTTTGGCTGTGTTACAGGACACCATAAGATCTCCACCTGCAGAGCACAAGACAATGAGAAAGGCTACTATTTTGAGCATCATGGTTACCACACTGTTTTATTTACTCTGTGGATGCATGGGTTATGCAGCCTTCGGAGATAATGCACCTGGAAATCTTTTGACTGGTTTTGGATTCTATAACCCTTATTGGCTTCTGGACATTGCCAACCTTGCAATTGTTGTGCACTTAGTTGGGGCATACCAGGTATAAAATCATATTATCCTTGGTGCTAGTTTATTTTCTTGAAATCTAGAAATTTGCGCAAGAATTGTGGTGGGCTTAAGATCTTGAGTAGGCAACAATAGACTTAAAAAAGATAGGAAAATAAGAAAGAAATGAATATGAACTTATATTGATATTGCCTTGGGTCATGCTTTGCATCTCATAGGAAATGAGATTCCCCTTGTATAGTATTCCTAGAACCCCTTAGGGGGCGTTTGGTTGAGGAGAAATTTTTTGAATACTAGGTAAATGTAATTGATAGGGAAATGGTTGGAAAGTGAGTTTGGTGGGAAACTGTAAAAAAAGTTGTTTGGTTGGAAAAAAATTTACCAGGAAAATTGAGTGAAATTCATGAATGTGTGTTTGGTTGAATATAAAATATTGATGAGAAAATTTATTGAAATTACAAAATTATCCTTTTAAAAATAACCCTTTAGCTTTTACAAAACTTATTGTGCAAACTTTGCTCACCTGTGAGGGATAATATTGTCAATGTTTAGAATCACTGTATCAACTTATCTGATTTTTATAGAAATACCATGTTCAAAGTAGCATTCAGGAACAGTACTTTTCTTCTTTTTTAACGTGTAACTGTGGATAGCTAGCTAACTGATATTCATAGATAAAAATTGAGAATCCGTGAAACAAACGCAGACAATTGACAAACTTAGAATCACTTGACTGGGGAAATCGACAGAAGTCTTGAAACAAACACTGCCTTAAGAATTAATTAGAAACAACTATAACAATTACATAGTACCATATTAGGTCTTAATGACTAGTACGATGTTTCAGAGAATTTGAAGACTAAATCTTGTTCCTGAGACTTAATGTCTTAGTACTTAATTCATGGAATCGTTATTATATAACTTATTTCTAAAAACTTGTTAACATTACAATGGTCCAGTTTGTCACTATATTTGGTTTGAGTTGCTTTGATTTTGATCGTTCAGTTTCTCAGTTGAGGATATAAACTTGGAGCATGATATAGAAATGTATATTTATTTATGAACTGTATATATTATTACAGGTTTTTTCTCAGCCCTTATTTGCATTTGTTGAAAAATGGAGTGCAAGAAAGTGGCCAAAGAATGATTTCGTCACGGCAGAATATGAAATACCTATTCCCTTCTTTGGGGTGTACCAACTCAACTTCTTCCGCTTAGTATGGAGAACCATTTTTGTGTTGCTTACGACCATCATAGCTATGCTGCTGCCTTTTTTCAACGATGTGGTTGGAATACTTGGAGCTTTTGGGTTCTGGCCCTTGACAGTTTATTTCCCAATTGACATGTATATCACGCAAAAGAAGATTGGACGATGGACTAGTCGGTGGCTTGGACTTCAGTTACTTAGTGTTACTTGCCTCATCATTTCTATATTAGCTGCCGTTGGCTCCATGGTTGGGGTGGTTTTGGATCTCAAGACTTACAAGCCTTTTAAAACTAGTTATTAAAGGAAAATATGACCTTGAGAGTTATATACGTAATAATATAAGCATATGATAATATAGCAAATGATAATTTGGTTTGTATATGCTGAATGCCTGCAGCTGTAAGAACAGCAGGATTTGAGAAAAATAAAATGATAGTAGGACATACCTCAGGTTTAGAGACGTGTCTATGTGCAAGTATCACTTTGAAGTGCCAAGGGTAATTTGGATCTGTTAGAGACAACGATTGTACTTTACTTCTACCCTTTGCCATTTTGTTCTCTAGTCATATATTACTTTTTGTTCCTCCCTTTGGTATTTCTAGCTTTTGCCATTTTATTTCTTCAGTCATATTACTTTTGTCGCACCCCTATTTAGTTCCCTCCGAAAGATGCATAATTGAATCGAGGTTGCGAGCAACGCGGCTACACCACACAAGCATAATTTCTCCTGATATGGATTTTATGGACTCCAATAAAAAACAGTAGATCTTTTTGAAAAGAAATGTAACAAAGGCCATTCCTTTTCCAGAACATCAATCATTAACTCATAAATATTTATTAACACGATGAAGAGTAATTAAAAAATGAACAAACAGACAAACCAATACAACTCTTTACATACACAGAAAAATTTTGAGGGTAGGGGATATCCTTATTCTCTCAATGCCTTGACTTCTTATTTCTTAGCCTTCAGTTCAGATGAAGTTGCTTTGGCAGCAGCTTTGGCTAATGTTGTTGGTTTAATCACGCTCTTCGGGTTGAGTGCCTTCCTGATTTTAAACACTGCCCAAGCTGTCCCTATCGCATGCCCTGCAGCGTCAAGGCCTTCATTTGTAACCTGAGCTGCTTGCTCTCCATATCTAATATGACAAAAAAAGTGGAATCGAAAAGCAACTCAATCATACTAACATCGAGAAGGCTCAAGATGCTTCTTGGTACTGGTTAATTACATGCGAGCTCATAAGAAAACAAGTCATGCGTTAGACGCAATCTACAGAAACTGAGTTTTTGTTTAATCTTAACACCAAACAAGTGGTGTAATCCCCACCAAACAATGAACTAAACTAACCAAACGTAGAAAAGATTGGTCTGATAAAAATTTAACATTTCAAGCAAAGGCATTCTATCATTGAGGCCAGTCAATTATGTTGATGAGAATACTTGACTAGAGGACTAAATCTATAGAGAATGAACTTACTTATGTGAAACGAGTCCGGTGGTCACAACTGATGAAGTAGACATGACATTCCTTCCAGCTACTTCTACAGCATCACAGACCTTGTCTGCACACATACACACACAGCCAAAGCATGAGAAGAAATAAAATAAAATAAAGTCCTAGCTTCCACGCATAAATAATCAAAAGACTAATACCGAACCCAGAAGCCACATTAGAAAACTGGGGTTGGTTATAGGGAAAATGTTCCACATCTTTAGGGCTTCTTTCAGAACACAACATCCCAATTTTATTTTATTTTTTTGAAGGAGTGCCATCCGGCATTCTCATATAATCATATTCTCACAGCAATAATAAATAATTGCTTCCTTATCATTTTCAATCCTGGCTGCCCACCCGAATATATTTATGAATATGAAACAAACTCTCATGACATGAAGTATGAAATCAATGCTTCTAATTTTGAATCGGTGACTAAATTCTAAGCATGAGTTTATAAAATACATCTAGGACACACTAATGTGCAATATGTGGAATGTTAGTCAGAGCCACCTCAAAACCAGAACATATACATGGCTTAGGCTTAACATCAACTGAACATCAGGCATAAAAAACGTCTCATATATATTACGATGGCAAGGTAGAAATTGAAAATATGCAGAGTCAAGCACAGAACATATAGCTCAGTTCTTCCCCACCACGATAAAAAAAACAGGCAGAAAACTAAAAGCATAGAAAGTCAAAGATATGATAACATACTGAAACCATCCATGGTGGCAAGGACGATTTCTCCTGGAAGAAGGCTAAAGAATTTCTTGCCAGCTGTGGAGTTCACTACAGAACTTGTGAAGAATCCAGACACCTTGATAACCCCAGAGAGGACACCGGTGGCCACATTCTCCGACATCTTCGTCAACTTCTTAACCCTGAAAGGAACCACATAACATAAAAATAAAATTAAAAATAAAAAACGAAGCATTGAATTCGCAGTAAAATCGATAGGAAGTTTCCAAGTTCCAACCTTTTAATCCTCTCCATGGCTTGTGAACTGATTTGGGATTGAGAACCAGGCTGCATCCTCTTCTTCAAGAAATCATTCCCCCATTTCAATCTATCAACAGTGACATCCCCACACCACAAAATCCCCCTCACCACCTGCCCCGAACCTGAAGCAATCCACCTTGCAAAGCTACTACTATAATCCTCAACGTTTGGCGCCAACGTAGTCCAATAAGCAGCAGAACTCTCCTCCACCAGTTCCTTCTTTTCCCCTGATTTCAACACCTCCCAACCACCCACACCCTCCACTTTCTCCACAGAGAGAAAACTATACTTTTCCAGAACATCATCCAGTTCCTTCAGCAACCTCTCTTGCCCTTTGGCCGTTACGGTTAACCCGTAATTCAACACCTCAAACTCATTCTCAGCGTCACTCTGTGGAACTGGAACCCTAAGCGTGAAGAAATAATGCGACTCGTCGAGCTTCACCGTAGACACGTCTTTGGCCAAAGGCCATTGAATTTGATCGCCGATGCGAGCGAGAACCGCGACGACGTTGTCCCCTTCTCCGATGCTCGCTATGGTGAGGTCACCCGAAGCGAGGTGGACGCTGGAATCCTTTTGTATTAGATGCAGAATCACACCGGGGACGGTGACAAGAACATGTTCGAAGGGTTGTGTCATGTTTGAATCTTCCGAGGAGAGATTTTCAGTGGCAACGTTGTTTGTGTCGATTGAGGGATACATGGTAGAAGTAGAAGAAGAAGGGGAAAAGGGAGAATTGGCGTCTGGGTTAGTGAAATCGACTTGTGGGTAGAATGAACTTTTTTGGGGAGAAGCAGAAGTAGAAGACATGGTTGTGTTGTGAATGTAAGAATGGAACACAAAATCGGATGTAATATATACTATGTCGGATAAATGGATTAAGTCGAACATTAAAAATAAAACGCAGAGACAAAACCGACTTGTAGAAGAAAAGAAAACACGTGGCGGTTGTGAAGACGTGTAATAACCGCGGACGTTGAGCTCTACGATTTTGCCATCTGTAAACAGCAGTATTCAGTTACACTTGACAGTTACTTTCTGTTTAAGAAATAAAGCACTGAGCCGCAGACTTTATAAATATAATTCCCGTTCCCGCGTAGTTTGATTATCAAATTGAAAGGGGGCCCAACAAGTCCATTCGTCCGGCCCATAACAAATAAGCTTTTATGAGTTTTATCGAACATGGCGCGTTTTATTATTTGGCAACTCTCGGTAGAGCTATTATCTCGTGGATTAGATGGATCCCACACACTTTTATATGAGTATAGGAAATAAAATTAGAGAAACATTAATCTCAAAAGGAGAGAGATCATTTGACTCTAGAGTAAGATTTATAAGTCTTACTCTCCATCCTAGCTGTTGATTTCAGTCCATCCAACAGTTATAATTTAGAAAATTATATTAATTAATTATTAATTACACTATAAATGACAACACTTGATTTCCGTTCATCAACGGCTGAGATGGGGAGTAAGACTTAAAAGTCTTACTCTAGAGTCAAAAGAACCCTCCCCATCTCAAAATATATTTATTAAACTACTTTGTTGCCCTTGAATCCAAACATCTACTTATCTTGCAAACATTCACTTGCTGCCCATACCACGAATTTGGTTGTCTAACACTTCCTTCCTCACCGACATTGATTTCTTGCTTGTTTGCATTGCTGCCTTCTTGTTCTTGATTGAGATTCACCGTATGTCTTCATCATAGTCAACAACAAAAGTCATGCAGAGCCTATTTTTATATACTTTCTTGGACGTCCAAATTTAAACAAAACACATACGTGAAGCACCTTTTTCTATCAACATTGCTCTTGTGCATATTCCAATGTCTAATTTCAATGGTACTCTTCATGAGAGGAGTCACGTTCTTCGTGTGCTTAGGTATCAATTAGACTTCAATTGAGTGTTGATCTTGAAGACACTTTATCTCATGTTCCCTAAAGAAATAAAAACTTGCAATTTGGCTGAACAACATTGTGAATTTATTATTGTTCTCTGCAACATTTGATTTAAACATTTTCTTCTTAATAATCATTGTTATATTATTTTTTTTCCACATATCTCCTTGATTCTATTCTTAAATTCTTGAGGCAAGCCTAGCATTGAGCATGGACGATCCACGCTGCATGAGGTTATGTGATCATTTATGTAGTTCTCAACATTACCACTCCTTTCTGGTTGTAATTCTTGGTAAGCGATTAATTAACTACTGCAATCAGATGAGAAAAGGCCACAATCACTCTTCTCGAGTGTGAAATTTTGTTCGCACAAAGGGGCTTCAATTACTCCTGCCAAAATCGGTTAAAGTCCATGGACTAGTCCCCAAAGCTATGTAGAGCCTGTCATTAACAACTTTCTTAGAAGCCCAAATTTGAAGCTCATCATTTGGCTCAAACTCATAATGTCATTCCATTTAGCTTTCAACATGCACACGAAGATCACTTTTCTCTCAGCATTGCTTTTGTGCATGTCACATTGTCTAAATTAAAGGGTACTCACCTTGACAAAAATCATATCCTTTGTTGGCTTACGAATCAATGAGACATCCTTAGAATGTTGGTCTTAGGATAATTTATCTCACTTTTCCTTTAGAAACCAAAGCTTGCAATTTGGTTGAACGACATTAAGAATATATTGTTTTTCTTTGCAACGATGATTTAAATAATTTCTTCTTAATGACCATTTTGTTATTGATTTCCCCACATTTCTCCATAATTGTGTTCTTAAATTCTTCAGGAAAGCTTAGCATTGGGCTTGGACCTTCCGCGTTACATGAGGTTCTTCAAAAACTTTGGGTTTTTTTTTTATATTCCAATTGATTCAGTGCTTTGTAACTAGTCCGATTCGGGGCAAATCACGGGATTAAGACTTTAAATCCCTCCCAAAGACGGTACTTGGAATGATCGAACACATGCTTTCACCCTCAGTTCCTTTATACCAACTAAGCTACCATCATTTGTGTTCTGTCTTAGAGACAGAAATGTCCAGCCCAGTGGGCTGGTATGTTAATCTTGGATCTAGTGCTCTCTCCAAGGTATCTATGGAAGAGATACCCTTGAGTCTAGCATATCACTGTGCACAGAACACTATTAACGGCGTTAGCCAATGGGGTGTGTGTGTGCGCCAAGTGACAGCATAACAGTCAGAGAGAGAGAGCGTACCGTACCTTTAGGGTTTACCTTTTACTTATAGAGGTTACCTGGGGTAACGTGGATGGGCCTTTAGTGCTCCTGATAAGGGCCCATGCCTGCTTGCTATGCTGTCGTATTAGGATTAGTATCCTTGATGGATATCTATCCATGATTATATTAGATTTAAATCTTAGATAGCCCCTTATTAGGCCTGTCATTCTACGGGCCCTTTATACAGGTCCATAACAGTTGCCCCTCACCCCGATTACCTGGGCGTCCGGGTTTTCGGGATGAACTTCTTTGCGCTTTTGCTTCAGGTTCTCTGCTGAGCTAGGCGCATTTGGGTTTTAGTAAGTTCTTTATATACGTGTTACTTGATCTGAGATTTTTCCACCGAGGTCCTCATTGCTCCTTATCTCGGAGAGTTGAGCATAACCCTAGGAAAGCATTTCACGTATTCCCATCGGCGAGTTCAGAATGTGCTTGAGTTGTTAGGATCCAACTGGCAAGTTGCCCCCAAGCATCATTCCTTACGCGCACACTTTGTTTGTAGCCCTCTTTTGGAACCAGGAATGACTTTTCCCAGTAGTTATGTGGACGGGTTATGAATGAGCCTGGCAAGATATTTTGCATATGCCACCGGGTATCGAATGTGCTCGAGCAGTTGGTGTCCAACAGGGGAATTGCCCCAAAGCATCAATCGGATAACCGGCTAAGAGTTGTTGAGTACACGTGTCATCAATCTCTCTTGTCGATTTATCATTAGTACTCATTTCATTCTGACATGTGCTGTTTGCCGCATGTGTTAGCGTGCTATAGCCATTTTATGCCGTTCTCGCATTTCGTGCACATTTATTGGCAGCGTCATTTCAGGCGTTTAATCATTGCCTTTTTAAGTGCAAGGACGCTGATGCTCCTGACCCTTGCCATCCACGACTGCTGCAGTTACCACTCATGAGTTAAATGTCTCTACTATCCCTGACCTTTGCCCTTCGTAACCACAGTGGTTACTGCTTATGCATATGTAAGCCCTCGTCCTATGCTATTTGTTTTCGTTTTCCTTTTGAGCATTGTGCAGAGACTTCCTTCCGTGTGAGTTTTCCTGAGTATCAGTATCTCCAACGCATTTCCCCCATAGCTTTGCAAGATCATCCCTTTCTTCAGGTATTTCACATGCCTTTGATTTTTGCTATTTCTATCTTGAGGTGTTTGCATCTAGTCATCTGATTTTGAGCATGCTTTTTCGATGCTTCTTCAATCCTGAATTTTTGGTCCAGCATATGTCTTGTTGATTTCCTTTGCTTTCTCGTTGTATCAATGTTATGCACTTTTTAGGGGGTTGCATATTGCTTCCCTTCTGGCATTTTGGTGTTCATCACCTTGCCTTCATCGTCTTTCTTTGTTATTTTGAATCTTAGTGTCGTTTGGTCTTTTAGCAAAATGAGGGGGAAAAACTCTCCTTCTTCAGCTTTGTGTTGTAAGTGGGTGAAGGAGGAAGATTCTGATTTTTTGAAAAAGATTCCCCCTGGTATTCATTTCTGGCTGTGGGGGATTCCGAGGACTGAAGAGGAAGAACGTGAAGCCATGCTTCGCGGTTGCTGTGGTGGTAGATCTCGGAGGAGGTCCGGGTTACCTTGCAGAGAGTTAAGGCCGACCCGGGGTAAAGGTTCGTCAACCGGGGTTAGGGGTCGCCTTACTTCGAGTAGACATACTTCCCAGCGATTTGCCCAGCTCGAGTATCAGCCCTTTAGCACTTCTATAGTTCACCCTGGACATTCGTCTATTGTCCGAGATTTCCGTCATTCTTCCCCTCTCCAGAAGAGTGTTCCTTGTTATTCTTGTGTCTACTTGAGTTCCAAGCTTATCGAGCAAGGACGTGACTCTCTGGCCGAGCCTACTTTGGCTAGTTGCCGGCATGATTTCGGGATCTACCTCCGCATCTGGTGGGACAGATGGCCCAATCATGATCTCCGATATGTCGACTTCCTCATCTTATACTGATTCCTCTTCTGATAGCATTTTTGATTCAGGTATGCCCGTTCTCTTCTTCTGATCTAGTTCTTTTCTTTGTTTTAGGTTTTCATGGCATCTCCTCCAGAAGAAATTGAAGAGTCGGGTTCTACTGAATCATACCCTCCATGTCCCCCCACCTCTTTAGTATCCCAGTTTCCTTGGGTGACTTATGAGATTTTAAATACTGCTTCCGAGATGGGTCCGGACGACGTGGCAGGTCTCCCTGTTGTGAAGTTAGAGTGTTATGATATTGTCCCCCCACATGAGGATGAACCGGTTTGTTCTAGTGGCAGGTCATCCATTGCCAAGTTTTCCAGGTTCAGATTCATCGTGCTCACCGGATTAGGCCTTTCCCGGTTTTCCACCTCAATAATTCGGTTTTGATGATCCGAGTTGCGATTCCCTTCACGGCCATTAGCATCTTGGCCTTCGACTCCTGTCGCCCCTGGTCCAGTCACCCTCATTAAGCGTTGTTCTAGATCTCGCATTCTCCTGGTATTCTCTACTAGTATCCTTTGGAAGTCTTGTTGACACTGGAGGTTATTACGATTCTCCGTCTTTGTCATTCGCTGCAAAATTGTTGCAAACACATTTTGAGCCAGCCGAGAGTCAGAATCTGAAGATTGAGCTATATGTGCAGCAAAATCCTCTGGATGTTGAGAGGGATTGTTCGGAATCAGGGCCGCCACTCGATTGCGGGGTGCTGGAGTGGAGGCCGTGTCTGACACATCCTCACTGATATGGACATGATCATAATCCACATCGTTTTCAAGCTGGTTTTGAGGCTGATTTACCTCTTCTAGGACTAGATCCAGCGGCGAATTCTGGTTTTGGGGCGGCTGCTAGCTATTTCTCCTTATAAGAACTGCCATCGTCAGTCAAAATTGTGGGAATGTCAAATTCAAAGGGATGAATTTCCCACAGACGGCGTCAATGTTCTGTCTTAGAGACAGAAATGTCCAGCCCAGTGGGCTGGTATGTTAATCTTGGATCTAGTGCCCTTTCAAAGGTATCTATGGAAGAGATACCCTTGAGTCAAGCAGATCAATGTGCACAGAATACTACGAACGGCGTTAGCCAATGGGGTCTGTGTGCGCACAATGACAGCATAACAGTCAGAGAGAGAGCGTACTGTACCTTTAGGGTTTACCTTTCACTTATAGAGGTTACCTGGGGTAGCATGGATGGGCCTTTAATGCTCCTGATAAGGGCTCATGCCTGCTTGCTATGTCGTCGTATTAGTATTAGTATCCTTGATGGATATCTATCCATGATTATATTAGATTTAAATCTTAGATAGCCCCTTATTGGGCCTGTCATTCTACGGGTCCATAACATTTTGGTTTTACAATAACTAAGGTACTTCTCAACAACGCCTTTCCTATTGTGATTTTTGATAATTAATTAATTTATCAATTGCAATTGCATGAGAAAAATTCATTATCATTGTCATTAGGGAGGCAAAAATGAGCCAACCCGTAACCTGTAAAAAATGAGCCAGGTTGGATTGGCAAAAATAAATTGTCAACCCGAGGCAAACCGACCCTAGCCAGCTCGAAAAAAAAGAGCTAACCCGCAGGTCAAACAAGCTAGCTCGCGAGTTGAGGTTTTTTTTATTATAAAAAAATACAAAATATAATATATAAAATTGGACAAAATCCACAAATGTTGTCTTCATCTTTCTTCTTTTTCTAAACCTAAGTCCCTAATCTTCTCACATCACTGCCATTTTTATATTATTAGGTTGTGCTGGCTCTATTTGGTTCAAATATCTTATTCACTTGGTAGAAAGTGATTCTGATTGTTTCTTGATGTTGGTGCAAATTTGTTGTGAAGAAAATTTGAAACTAGAATATTTTGTTTTTATTTCTCATTTTGTAACTCTTTGTTTAAGCTGATGGAAGCCACATAGCTTATGCTTTAATACTACAGGTTCATTTAAATAGGTTGAAAATGAGCCAACCTGCGAGCAATTTTCGAGCCAACCCGCGAGCTAACTCACGAACTATTTTTTCAAGCCAATCCACGAGCCATATTTTTTAGCCAACCCACGAGCCAACTGTGGTTGGGTCGGGTCAGATTTTCTGGTTCATTTTTTTTCGAACCAACCTTAACCCGACTCATTTTTTTCGGGTTACATGCGGATTGGGCTGGGTCGAAACGGATTGGCCATTTTGCCAACACTAATTGTCATTCACTGTGAAATTTTGTTTACAAGAGGGGCCTTCATTAGTGCTGTCACAATGGGTTCAAGCCGGCTAGTCCCCAAAGCCATACAAAGCTTGTGTTTCAAAACCTGATTATTTAGTGGATGCCCAAATTCATTCAATGGGATAATGTTATTCCATTTACGTACCTTTCTACACGTACATAGAGCACTTTTTCTCTTAGCATTGCTGTTTTGTTCATCCCATTGTCTAAATTACACTTGTTTTCCATCAATCTATATTTTATCTCATTTTATTTATACGAGCTAAACTATTACTCTCTTTTTTTTTTGGTAAACAGCTAAACTAAATTATTACTTAAGTCGTTAATGAACTGCTCTCTTTATTTTTCATTTTTTTATTACAACAATGTTCGACTTTTTGTTAGAAAATCGAGTATTTTTTTATATGTTTACTGTTCAATCTTATATTCGACATTATTGCTATCATATTAGAAAATTGGTAGTTTATATTTAATTTTAGAATCATATATATGGGTTAATAGAAGTCATACATAGAAGTAAAAGATAATACTCCATAAACATATTCAATCACATATTAATTCCTTTCCAAATGCATATATTGCTTATAAAATATTGTCAACTCTTCGTGTAATTGTTTATCCAACTAAAAGAATTTCCTTTATAATTAAAATTAATAAAATCTAACTTAAAATTAATAATATCCCATGAAAAAGTAAATCTATCAATTACATTGGCAATTAAAAATAGCAAAAATAAATTCCGTTTTTGTTGCAAAAAATTATTTTCATTCAAATTCACATAAAAGTGAATGAATTTCACTCACTTTCTCTCTCTCTTTTCTTTACCATAGGACCCATTTAATTTTATATGAATGTGATAGAAAAAAAAAATTATACAACAAAAGAAAAAATATTAAACTCTTAAAAATAAGTATTAAGGGAATTGTAATATAAAATTTAATTAGTAACTTTGCATTTGAAAAAAATTTAAAAAATTATTTTAAATCTTATTAAATGAATCTAAGGTTTCGTAAACCATTAATTCTGTTAAGTTACTCCGCATCTGGAAAGTCCCTGCACCGAAGTTCTTTTTTTTTTTGGAGTTATCCAACTCTAATTATCTCTTTGAGACGAGTTGGTTTTCTCCGGTATTCCCACGAGCTTCGACTCTTTGAGCCGGCTATGAGACTAATCCGGAGTGCGAGAAAACAGTGATGGCTAAAGGTTCAACCCCTCCCCAAAAATACATTCAGCGGGAATCGAACTGCCCGAAGTTCTGCATTCGAATGTTTTCACTAATTCCCAATTTTTATAGCAACCTTTGTTTCGGTTATGTTAAAAAATAATATAATACAGTTAGTTATTAATCAATGTCCACGTTTAACGCCAAGAATCAGATTTCCTTTGGTTTCGGTACGATATGGTATCGTTCCCACTTAGATTACAAGCTCACCTGTCTCCAAATTCCAGCCAAAGGCCTAACTTCTCCTATATATTAATACTAATTAATTACCACTTAACTAATAATTAGACAAAACCAGACAAAGCAGAATCATTAAATAATTTGCACATAAGAGGGCTTTTATTTTATTTTATTTTTATTAGGACTGTCTGCCTGATAGATTTCTGCTGTCCGTGTTTGAAACTTGGGGTCTATTGTTTTTCTGACATATATCTTTCAATGAATTAATTTAAAGCTTAAGAATATTATTAATTAATAATTATTACTATGATCTTCATAAAGAAAATCCCTTTCATGTGGTTCTGATTCATGCTACTGTTGTTATCCCATTCCTAAATATCGATTTAATGAGTGATAAAGACTTGACTGGAGATAGAGGGATTTGCAACTGTGTTCTCCTTTCTTGGTGGGCTCTTCCCATTCACTGTTGCGCGAAATAAGATAAAATAAAATAAAATGTAGAGGCAATAAATAATTTCCAATAGGTTGAAATTATATTTCATGAAAAAATATAGTTCTCATTCATGACTAACGTGTTGATACCTAAGAAATAATACGACAAGAATTTACAATTTTAAAAAATTAAAATAACTTTTTTAATTTAAAAAAACTGTTCAAAAAGTTCGACCAAGATGGAAGAACTAATATGAGGAGAATCAAGACTACTAAGAGTCATATATTTTTTTTTATTATTATTATAGAATAAAATTAGAACGGTTTTTTTTATTTTATTGTCCACTCCTGTTTCACTCATCTTTCAAAGTGTACGCATAAAATCATATAAAAAAAGGAAACGCATGTGGGACAGCACACAAAGTGGACATATGCTAAAGTGACAACGAACTTCATGGCAGTTTTCTGTGATACACGACATATCGTTTGTATCCGTCAGAAGACTCAAAACAGCTTTAACATGTATTTATAAGATTAGTTACGAAATAATATTAATATATTTTAAAAAAAAAAACTAACTTGTTTTTTTTTTTTTTTTTGGAGTTACCCAAGCTTAATTACCTCTTTGAGGCGAGTTGGCTCCCTTCGGTATTCCCATAAGCTTCGACTCTTTGAGCCGGCTATGGGACTAATTCGGAGTGCGGGGGTCAGTGATAGCTAAAGGTTCAGCCCCCTTCCCAAGAATGCATTCAGCGGGAATCGAACACATGTCCAACCCCACTAACTCAGCGCCAGAAAACCACCTGAGCTGCACCCATTGCGTAACTAACTTGCTTTCTAGATGACCATTTTGGTTCCTTATAATTGCACTGGACTTAAGGGAACTGGCCTCTTTATAATGATTTAGAACAATTCCATTTGCTTTCTCTTGTTCCACATTCAGTCTCGGAGTCAAATTATAATAAAAAATTCACAAATATAGCATTAACAACTTAAAATGTAGAATTTATTATACACATTACAAAAATACAGACGGTTGTGTAATATTAATTATCGGTAACCCAAAAACAAAAATTAATTATTCAAGATTAATGTTTCATAAAAAGTGCGTAAAATTGATACCAGAAACTACAAAAAAAAAATTATGATTATAATAAAGGGTTTTATAAGAGTTATGTTGTAAGAAAAGTGATTGTGTTATGTTATAGAGATTCGTTTTGCGTGCCAAAATTTTTTATATTTTTTTAGTTTCAAAAATTACGGGTCTCACAAAATGTTATGTGTGTAAGAAAAAAATTGTGATCATGTTAAATTATAGATGCAAAATGCTATAATAAAATACAGACAAAGAATAACTTATGTTGTTAATGAAAATAAATGTTTTCAAATCAAACAAGGTCAATGTAGCATCGAACAACGGTGAAAAACAAAAATCACAAATTATTATTTATCCATATTTTTTAGAAAGTATAAATAGACACCTAGAAGTCTATAAATACAAGAGGAAGCTAAGAAGTAAACCCAAAACAAACTTAAAAAAAGTACAATAGAGGATTACAATTACAACTCTAACCTTGTCATTTTAACAAAGAGGTTACACACAATTCTAAATAAAGAGCAAAAAAAAGTAAAAAGAAGGTAAGAAAAATAAGAAATTGGAAGGATTCCCATTGTCTATTATCATTCATGGCACTTGGCAGCTTATGAAGATGCCACTCAGGCACTCACGAATCACGAGCCACTAGTCGCATCGATCAAAACATCATGATCGAAGCTTTATAACGGTTCTATTTGAGTAACGACAATTGGGCTACGAACGACGTGCTTATCATCCGTCCACGAAAGCGACCCGAACACCGCCCCTGATGGACCCAGCTTCAGATTTCGGGTATTCGCCGTCACAGTCAACACAAAACTGCGCTTCTTCACCGTTTCCGAGAACACAAGCCGCGACGGCCTCACCGTCACCGTCACACCATTCGGCTGCGAATCAACCCTCACCCTGTAAACCGAGTTCGCAGGCCCCACGTTCGTCACGGTCCGTGTAAACATCTTCGATGCTAACCCCCTCGACGTGACCGGAAACATAGCAACAAAAGACGGGTAATTCAGATTCTCCGGCAACGGCTTCTTCGCCGGACAACTCGCCGGCGTTCGAGTAATCACCTGAATAAGCTTAGGTCCGTAACCGTTAGCGCATAGGAAAGTAACGTAATCATTACTGGTGATATCGTAGACCAAGCCAGGATCCATGGCGAGACCCAAATTCAGATGCCCCGCACCGAAATCATAGGGAGTGGAACCATTCCCGGTTGCTTCATCGATCATAGGCTGGTTTCTGTTATCCATCAACGTGGCGGTTGTCATCATGGCGGACCTTACGGCGGCGGGGCTCCAATCCGGATGGGCGGACTTCAACAACGCGGCGGCGCCACTCACGTGAGGGCAAGCCATTGAAGTACCAGACAAGATGTTGAATTCGGTTCTCCGAGAATCAGAATCAAGACCGGTGGGTCCAACCGCGTCGGTCCAAGCTGCGAGAATGTTGACACCAGGAGCAATCAAATCCGGTTTAAGTATTTGAGGGTTTAAACCGTTGGGTCCTCTGGCTGAGAAAGAAGCAAGAACCGGTGCCGGTTTGATTCCGAGAACAGTGCCTTTGAAATCGAGGGTGGCTGTGGGGTTTTTAGAGGATGAGATGTAAGCTTTAATTGCATCACCTTCGTTGGCACCAACGGCACATGCAGGAAGAAGATGAGCATCACCAACAAGTCCTTCACCGTTGGATATTCCGTTTGCGAGAATCATCCCAACGCCGCCAGCTTTCTTCACCACTAATCCTTTCGCCACTCTTGGACTACTTCCTCTGTCACAAACCACAATATTTCCTTTCACTACGTTTGGATCCAGTGAATTCTCCATGCACAGTGAATCACCCAGAACCCCTGATTTTCCAGGGTAAACTAATTGGTACATTTTCCCCTTCAACGCCACTCCGGCGTAGAGTGACACGCCGGACAATCTTCTCCCGTTGCCGAGAATCACCTGTGCTGGAAAATCACGATCAATGGTGCCTGCTCCAACTGTTGTCAACCATGGAGCTAAGTTTGTCACTGACATTCCGTTAGGTCCGTCGTTGCCGGCGGAAGAGGACACGAAAACACCTCTTGCAACCGCACCGTAGGACCCGATTGCAATCGGGTCAAGATAGTAAGGCGAGGCTATACCGTCGCCGCCGCCAATGGAAATGGAGATTACATCGACGCCGTCGGATACGGCGGCGTCGAAGGCGGCGAGGATATCGGAGTCGAAGCAACCCGAATTCTTCCAGCAAACCTTGTAGGAAGCCAATCGAGCTTTTGGAGCTACACCCTTTGCGATTCCAGAAGCGTAACCGGACATGTTGGCTTGGAAAGCGTAGCGACCCGCCGCCGTCGACGCGGTGTGGGTCCCATGACCATCTGCATCGCGTGGTGATCTGAATTCGACGGTTTCGTTGATGGGATTCAAAGGACCTGGAGAACTGGAACCTGCCTCGTGACCTTTGGAGAAGAATCTAGCACCAATCAGCTTCCGGTTGCAGTTTCTGGGTGAAAATCTGAATCCAGTTTCGCAAAACCCTTTCCAGCGGCGAGGAATGGGGCCGAGGTTCAAATCGGAGAAGCTCCGGCGCTCAGGCCAAATTCCGGTGTCGAAGACTCCGATGATGACGTCGGAGCCGTAGTCGGATTCGGACCAGAGACCTCGCTGGTTGCGAAGGCCAAGGAACTGAGGCGAGCGAGTGGTGTGAAGCTCACGGCGACGATCCTCGAAGACGGCGAGGACGGAAGGGTGCTGGCTTATGGAAGCAGCTTGTTGGCGCGTGAGAAACGCAGAGAAGCCATGGAAAACGGTGTCGTATGTGTGAAGGATGTTGGTTTGTTCGGCGAACTCAGAGGCGTACCAGTGGTAGTGGGTGGGGAAAATAGAGGGTTTGGATTCAGAATTAACACGAAAGATGAAGGTCTTGGAAACTTGATCCGCAGAAACAACCAAGTTTTGGGAAAGTAAAATGAACAAGAACGAGATCGAGAAAACAAGTGCGGAAGGAATGGTATTCAGTATAAGTGTACCCATTTGAGACACAGTGGTGAGTGAGAGTGTGAGTGTGAGTGGCAAAGAGATGGCAAGTGTTATAACGTTCACAACAGACGCGGTGAAGTGCTCTTTTCTTTTTTTAAATAGAAAAAATGAACAGTAAACACTTTTTTTTGGTCTCTGACAAAAAATACGGTCCTCACTTAGTCCCTTACAAAAGTTAGTCCCTAACAAATTTAAAGTGGATCTATTTTAGTCCTTTTGAGAGACTAATATGGGTCTTTTTTGAAATTGTGAGGGACTACGATTTCAACTAAATGGGTCCACTTTGAATTTGTTATGGACTAACTGACTAATTTTTTGTGAGGGACTAATATGTATCTATTTTTTGTTAGGGACTAAAAATGATATTTACTCAAAAATAAAATAAGGAAGGAAAAATATATATTAAAATATTAATTATTGTTTAATAATTTATTAAGTTGATTAATCTTGTTTCGGGCAATCGTCGAATACTCAAATGTGTGTCTCTGTGGATACTGCAGGGGATGTCGCCTCTACTAAAGTCTAATTTGTCGGCTTAATATCCGTTACATCTCGTAACTTTAAAAGAAAAATTAAACTATCATATTTATAGAAAGTGAAAGTTTTTAAAATCACTTATATAAGTTTTTAAATATCTTATACATTTATAAATAATCTTAAAACTAACTCGGCTTACTCAATATTAATAAGAAGTTAAAAAATATTTTTAATAAGGATTATTTAATTATTCAATTGATTTTTCTTAAAGAAATAATACATTATATTCTCTAATTTTATTACTAAATTGGTTATAAATATGTTTATAATTTTAATTTTATTTTCCAAATTTTATCTTAATTAATTGTTTTTAAAATATTCATAAAAGACGCATATACCTACTAATAATAATGTAAACTATGTGCTGTAACAGCAAAAGCGTACAAGACGTGTCCATTCCCCAATTCCCATTCGGATTAGATTATCATCGTAATGTGTTGAATTTTGATCTTTGAATGATAAAAACAGGGTGGAAAGTAATTGGATACAGAATTAAAAGCGACGAATTTCCAAAAAAAAAGAATTAAAAGCGACGAATGGTCCTTGAAATATCACAACGAAAAGTTCCCCCGAGTCTAATGGTTTATGGCAATGTTCTATCTGAAAACCGATGATCCAACAAGACAATTTCAGTGGCGAGGATTTAATCAATTTAATGAATAAAGTTTATAATCGTAATTGAACAACAATAAATTGCATAATAGTCGAATGAAGAACATAATTAGATCATTATCCAATCAATTTTATTGATTATATCCCTTTTTTTATCATTGGTTTACTGTTCCGATGCTTAGCTAGTGCCATGCGAATCATGTAAATGGATAAACGAACCTTTATTTTATCTTATACATCGCATAGCATCCAGATGGTGTTGCATGATCCTCTTTATTTTCTCTATATTTCAATAATAATACAAATAAAAACATTGGAAAGAGATTATGTTTACTCCCATTAAATAAGATAAAAAGGAGACTCTATTGATATGTGCAATGGAATGAACCGTGGAAAACCATAAGTAAGCGCGTCAATCATATATTGATACTAGACTTTTAAATGACTTAATTTTTATCTTTTATAAGTTCTAGTAAAATTTTACTTATTTAATATATTTAAAAAATAAATATAAATTTTTTACATATTCTAACCGTGTAAAAAAATTTGATGAGAAAATATATTTGTAAAATGATACCCGTGACATCCGGTCACCTTAACGTGTCTTTATTTCTTCATGTTAAGATTCTTTTCTGATAATGACAACAAAAATAAAGTTTACGCATCTTTTATAACTATTACTAACAACCACAGATGCTCATCGAAAAACTAATTGTATTAATTAATAAAGTTGTCGTAAGCAGTTTTTTAAAATTCGGATCGAATTAGAGCCCGTTTGGATAAGTTTTTTTTCTTCAGAAGTTGCTTTTTTATATAAAAAAAAAACACTTTTCGAAAAAAGTCTGTTTGGATGTCTGCTTTTAAAAAAAGCATAAGTTATAAAAAAAACTAAAAATTTTAACTTTTAAAAAAAGCAGAAGTCAAAAGTCAAATATTTTTTTCAAAAAATAAATATTTTTTTCAAAATCTAAATAGCTGTAACTTTTATAAAAAGTACTTTTAAAATAAAGATGTGATAAAAAAGACTTTCTTCATAAGTCAATACAAACGACCTCTTAATTGGGCTGACTTGGGTTTTAGTGATTCAGTGAGAGCGTTGATTCGAGTTAGTTATTGAATCAATTACGTAATTGAATTTGTTTCGGCCGGTTGACGGCCAAATTTTGGTGACTTGCAGATTAAACGGAACTCGACGAGTCAAGCTATTTTCTCTCTTAAACTAATTTTTCCCTTAGGGGGTGTTTGGTTGAGGAGAAATTTTTTGAATAATAGGAAAATGTAATTGATAGGGAAATGGTTGGAAACTGAGTTTGGTAGGAAAATGTAAAAAAAATTGTTTGGTTGAGTAAAATTTTACCAGAAAAATAAGTGAATTTCGTGAAGAGTATGTTTAGTTGAATATAAAATATTGATGGGAAACTATTCTGAATTTACGAAACTATCCTTTTATTAAACATTGCCCTTTATACCAATACTTGTCCAAACGGTAATAGTGAATTTTCAACAAATCATGTAACAGTGAATTTTGCAACTTATCCGGTTTTTACAAATAATACCACCCTTCAAAAAGCATTCCGTAACAGTAAATTTCCAACAAATCACGTCTAATTCAAGTTAGATAGGCAACGATGAAAGCTAGATAAAAAACATAAAATCAGAGAACCAAACGTGGATTAATCAAAATGCAGGCAACACTTCCCCATGATTATTTAGCAAAATCCTGAAACAAACACCCCCTTAAACTAATTTTTCCCTTAAACCAGGTTTTTAAAAATTCGATGCCACTTTTGATGTGGCCAGAAATCAAACTCAAGTGGGAGTAAGTAGTATTATCACATAATCTCAATTATTGGTCAAAATGTATTTTATAATATGTTTATTATATTATTTAACATACATTTAGTTAAATTAGTTGAATCAACGATCCACCAGTTGAACAATGACTCAAGTAACCTAACACTTTGACCGAGTCGATGATCGGACCATATTTTAATACACTAATCCTAAATTATTTCGAGTCAAATTTAACACATCATTATATCTTTTTACTAATTTTATAATATGAAATGAGCAAAAAAATTTCTAAAACAGAAGAAAACACCTCAAATATTTATTTTTAAATGTTAATTACACAAAAAAATTAAACAAAAAAATCTGATAAAAAGACAAGTGTTTGTCAGCATCCAATATAAGGTCATACTTCCCAAAATTTTCCTTCCTCTCTTATGTTTTTTCATGGAGCATGTGTAGGGGTTTGGTATTGATTTCATCTACTTTACTTTTTCATGTTCCTCTTCATGATTTTCATTCAAGTGCAATGAAGAGGCATGCTAGGAAATTTACACATCATAGAACTGCCATGGGTTATCTTCTCATGCCATTGAAGATAGTTCATGCACTTTATTCCATGCATGTCAATTGGGAGCCTCACCTACTACTGTTTAATCAATTCATGAAATTAAGGTTCGTCATGGAAGTTTTAACGCTTGTCAGCTTCGAACTCTGAATTATAGTTCTAATTCTGACGTGTTTCAAGTAACTCAACCAGTCAGAATATTAAAATTCAATCTAACTGTTGATTAAAATACCAACTCTAGATACGATACGATGGTATCCACATTAAGGAACTTTGTCCGTATTTTTTAGTACAGCTTCGATGAAAATGAAAAACAATTAAAACGTAGCCACGTGGAGGAGAAAAATAAGTAGATTCTGCGAGCAAAACAATTTCCTAATCTAAGGGACCGGGGTAAATGGATATTGCACGCAAAGTAGGAAAAATTTTTATACATTAAATGTAACTTGCTTACCATATAAACTCGCATGGTCTTTACGAAAGAAATAAAAAATAAAAGCGGAGTCCACAGTGATTACACAACCGACAGTCATATGATTTCCTTATTTAATTTTGTTTTTCCTTCAACCGACAGAAATTGTGAAAGCTGTTTTTTTTTATATTATTTTTCGTCAACCGACAGAAATTTGTGAAAGCTGAAATATTCTTTCATATAATTTATCTTTTCATGAATTTATACTACAAAATAAAGGGGGGGGGGGGGGGGGGGGAAAGACATCGAATTAAAGCAAACAATTATAATGAAAAGCAAGTGACAAGAAAGTTTTAACTAGAAGATCGTCATAGTTAATGCCAATTGCCAATTAAGGCCAGGCTCAATTTCAATATTTCGATGAATCATTACAGACTTGCTTACTCTCTTCTTCTTTTTTTATAAATAATCAATGAAGATTATAATTATTTTTATAAGAAATTTGAAATTTTCTTATTTTTCAAGCCAAGTGTGGAACAAAATATGGTAACAACTAACAAGTGAGAGCATCAAGGATCTGTCTGTCCCTACAGAAACAGGATGAAAAGAAAGTGTCCCCATTGTCCTGAATCGAACGGCTCATATTTAAAATTTGGAAACGTGTAGCATCATTGGCTGGGCCATCATAACCGAGATGAACGGTGGAGATTGTGTTGCACAAACATTTTGGCGTGGAGGACATGTTATGATTTCAGAGTCATTCACGGTCCAAAGAATGGCTTAGTCCCACATATGACATATCCTTCCTCTTTTATTTTATTTTCTTTTTCTTTGAGCTGTAAAGTTATCATGTCAGAGGTTGGAAATGTGCCCTTTGACGACGAGTTTAGATGTTGAGTCAACTCGGAATAGGAGAAAAAATCTAAACCATCAATGCGTTTGACAATCAATAAATGACTTGACATCTATCCATAGGCGCCATCATAGCAGAGATAAACGAAGCCCCCACAAAAGAACACTCTCAGCTTAAAGAACAAAAGGGGAAATTAATGAAGAAGGGATAATTCATTTCATTTATTTATTTATTTATTTTGTCTATTATTTTTTAATATTATTAAAGGTAGATAAA